GTTAGAAAACAGACAGCAATATATTTCTAAAACAGTCTGGCCAACACAGAGTGGTACTCTCAGCACATTGTTCACCATGTTTCTCAAAGATATTGTTTACATAACATTCTTATCAGTGAACTTCAGTTCTGCCCAGGCAACTTCTTTGGATGAGGTTGTCAAGTAGACAACACCCTCACCATCCGAGAAGGGAGTTTGCTTCAAAGTGATACATTCAGACACAATGTCCACACTGTGTCATTTCAGCAAGCTACGCGGTCTCAGACCCGTGTCATCTTTCACACTGCAGCGTTAAGAGAACAAACAAGGTCTGAGGTTCCACATTCAGAAACATTTGCTTTATTGTCTAGGTCTATGGCAAGAGCTACCACTCAAAATACTCTAATCTTTACACAGAGGAAGAAAGGAAGAACAATATACCTTAAGAAGAAACCATTAGTGAAGCGCTGCATTTTGCCAAAATCCCTTACTCTCTTTATAAAATATTTTTACAAACAAAGATGAAAGGCTTTACCACTGTTAAAGTAATATTAAACAGACTAAAACTATCCCGGAAAAAGAAAAAAAAACTTAGTCTGAGAGGTTTTTCCTAAACAAGCAAAAAATAATACAAAATGAGAAGCAAAGACAGAAAATGCTGTCTGTCTCTGGTGATTACTCTTTCTCACAGACCTGCCTCAAAGGCAGACAAACTGAATGAAGCGTTATTAGCCAACCCAACATTTGACAAATTTTTACCAGGAATATCCGGGGGGGTGGGGGTGGGGGGCGAAGGAGGAGGGAAGGTGGCAAGAAAAAGAAAAAAGCAAACATGTAACAAAACCTCAAGTTTTGACCAGCTATGTTAGATGCTTACTGGAAAGAAAACAAGAAGAGAGGTAAATAAGAAGAAAATGGGGATGGAGAGGAAAAAAAGACAAAATAAGAGCAACCAGAGAGAAACAGACTATGGTTTTTTCCATCAGGCTAGTGGAGATGGAACATGATTTGGATCTCTGGATGGTTCTAGTCAAGGGTCTGCTTTAGTCTCTCAAAACAAGAAAGGTCACAGATTATGCAACTTTTACCAATGTCATCACCAGTGAAGGTGGACCTAATATTGATTCAACTCTGGGCACAGAACCTTTTCTCCCCTTTTCTAGCCAACCTCAGCATTACAAAATTCTGTACTTACTAATCCAGGTTCAATAACCTGACACCACTGGTAAATGATTAACAACTGTTCTGTTTGAGATATTCCAAACATGAAAACCTTGTAAGGGGCAATCAGAATAACTCAGATTTGTATTTTACTAAGGAAGCACTGGTGCACAACAGTGCATACACAGCATACAAATAATACAACCTTTACCATAAATGCAGACATCTCTCCTCCTTTTCATTTGTTTATCTAGCCCACATTTCTTGCTACTCTGTGTGTGTTTCTTTTTTAAAAGAAGATAGCAGGAACATGTAAATGACAAAGCTTTGGCCATTGTTAGCCCAGCTCTGCTACTCCATCACAAAAATCTCCCAATCTGACATTTAGCATCACAAGCCTTTTAAAACGTATTTTACTGTAAGGGTAACCTCATGACAACATAACACTGAAGCTCTATTATTCGCTCACATGACTGCACTACATATCAAAGGTAGGAGACAGAAGACCTAGGTTTGGAACCTAAGTGAGCAGTATCTTTAATCTGAACACTTCATTAAACACTGGGGCTGAGTATGACAGTTCCATAGTTGTACTCTTTTCACAAATTGCAAAACTTCTTAAAACAATAACACACAAATATTAGAACTCAATTTTCTACCCACAAACTAGTGAGACTTCCTATTCACATAAGACATAACCCTCTAGTTTATAAGTTTCACAGTTTTGCAACCTGTCATTTTGATATTTCCTACTGTTTCAGTAAAGAAGCTTAACTCTACAACTTTCTGTATAGCAACTCAAAAATAAATATGAATGACATTTGCAAATCCATAGATGTTGTATACACTAAAGCACTTTTCCTGATTTCAGGAAGACAGTTAATTCACGTTGAGAAAAATGTCCTAATTATGGACTCTATTCTTATCTCTGACTCTAATTAAGAGATCTTGACAGTTTGGATACAAGAGAATTTAAAAAGCAATATTTGTAAAAAAGCCCAAGGTGCTACATTCTACATAATTTTGCATTTGAACACAGTAAGTTACTTTGGGTAAACAATAAACAAAATTTCTATTTCTCTAGTCCCTTGTACCATCCTAATTTGTCACAAGTGAAAAAAGTATACGTTTGTTTCTAGATGGAAACTAGCAATACACAGATAAACACAGAGTTCTACCAACCACAAAGAAATATAATAACTTACTCAAAACAAAACTTAATGCAATGAAACTAAGCCACATGGCAAACTTTACACACTCCGTATTAATATGCTCTGGAGCCATGTGCATCAATTTCTACAACAGACAAGACTAACAATGTGCCCAAACAATTTTTTATGTCCTCATTTAAAAATAAACACAGAAACTTACTCCAAATTAATTCAACAGAGTTACTCCTAAGCAAATTTAAATTCCATCTGAATATGACCATAAGGTGCAGTAATGATTATTTCCTAAACTGCATATACCAGGTCCAACAGGAATATAAATCTGTAAGCCTATGCTGGTAAGACCACAAGTATATACTGCTAAGAAAACAAACATATGGCTATGATGTTAATTTGAAAAAGAGTCATGTTATGTTATTTATCTAATTTCTGATCACTAAGCTATTCTAAGCGAAAAAAAAAAGTTTGAATACCTAACCTTTCCATTTCCACACCTATTCCTCCAGACACCAGTCAAAAAGTAATTATTAGTTCATTTCTATGAGAGAAATTCAGAAGAGTGAATTTTTTAATTTGATGCCTTTCCAAAGCTGAAAAAGCAGAAACAGCTAGGGGCTCCAAACTCTCCAAAGTACAAATATTCTCTTTCAGGGGTAAATGAAATGCCAGAGTGAAAAGTAATTAAGGTTAGTCCAATGTATTCTATTAAAGTAACACATTTATATAAAGTTTTATTTCATGTCTAAAAACATACACAAAAAGGGGGCTAGGAAAATTGTTAGAAACCAAAGTGAGCCCTTTCAAAATGGCAAACTAACTCTGCAAAAATGTTCAGTCTGGAATTCAAAACAATTACATTAAGGGTAAAAGAGCTGAAACTGTTCTGTTTGGTTATGCCTTTTGGTTTTCCTTTAAAAACAAAATTAAAAATTAAAATCAGGCCACAAGATCTTCTCAATGGAATTGCAAATTACGGTACAAAGTTGAAAGAGTTGAACAGCGATCAAACAGGATTTACAGTACAAAATAAAAACCAACATATTCTGAAAGATTGTATGAATCTATTGCAAGACTTAATCATTATTTAAATTATTATAACACCATACGTATCTGGTATTGCATTCTGGGAACAATTACATGTGAAAATTATTACATTTCATTGATCAAATGAAAATAATAATCCAAGTTACAGAACATGAAGTTGTACAAAACATGCAAAGAGCATTCTGTCAGCAGGTACCCCCTTCTCACTTTAACTTTTACAGTAGTAGGTAGTGGTATGCACGTTGTAGCCTTCAGGAACAAAGGGAATAACCCCCCCCAATCTGACTTTTTTTGCATCTGGTCCAACCCACCCTGCCCTTATTAAGGATCTCACTGCCTGGTATTTGAAATCAACGCTAAGGATTTCCACTTGTATCATACCGTGGTTTTCTAGCAGTTTACCGTCAAAATCATCCTGCGGCCAAGCGCTTCTCAGGGAAGCGCAGGAGGGAAGGGCTCCATTCCTCCGGCACCCGCCGCCCTCCCGGCGGCGGGATCAGCACCCGGCAAGGGAACAGCGCCGGGGGCTCCACGGGCACGGGCGGTTCCGAACGTGCCGCTCGGGTTAAACACCGCCAGCGGTAACACCTCCCGGGTTAAATCCAGGCCTCCTCTCCCATGAACGTATCCCCTATTCACTCCAAACATCCTCCGACTCCTAAGCGAGCTGCTTTCCATGAACAGTCACGTCTTCCCCGACTCCCGGTGACACCTTTTGAGCTTGACGCCCAAAAATCTCGCTAAAATCTCTCGCCCCTTCCTTGCACAGGAACGCTATTTACGCCCCGATACCCCGGAACCCCCGGGGCTCCGCTGCCAAGCGCAAGGCGCGCCCCTCGGAGCGCTGAGCGCCGCGGGGCACCGAGATACCCGCAAAGGTCCCCCAGAGAGCCCCCGGCCTGCAACACACCTACCGGCTCCGGGAGCCCCTCTGTGCAGCCACCGCGGGTCATGTGCCAGGCGGTTTTTAAAGCATCATCCCTGCGCTACGAGCAGCAGCATCATAAATGCTCTCCTCTCCCTCCCAACAGGGAGCACACAGGCATCCCCCCCGCCCAAAGGAAAGGCCAGAGAGGGGGAGGGAAAGGAGCCATCCCAGAGGGGCTGTCGTGCGGAGCGTGCCGCGCTCGGGTATTCCCGCGGCCGGGAGCTCAGGCCGCCTCCCGCCCGGAGAAGGCAGGCCCGGCACCCGCCGGCCCGCAGCCGGCGCCGGCCAAGGGCTCCCTTCTCCAGCGCTTTCGCACTCACTGCTACGCCGCGTTCGGAGGCAGCACTGCCCGTCCCGGCCCCTCCGGCGCTCGCCCACCAGCGCGCCCCGGCCCCTCGGCGCGGTTACCCCGGGGCAGTCCCGGGGCTGCGGCGCCCGCCCGCCTGCGGCAGCGCTGCCCAACGCCGCCCGGCACCGCGCTCACGCTGCCGCCGGCGGCCGGAGCGCCGCCCCCCACGCCCCGACCCCGGCCCCGGGCCTCGGGCACCGCGCACGGCGGAGCGGCGCTCCCTGCGCGGCGGCGGCGGCGGCGCCGCCACGGGAGAGAGAGGCGGCCGGCGGGGCACCCGGCGGGGCACCTCGCAGGGCGGCCCGCGGCGCGCACCGACCCGCGGCCGCCCCTCGTGTGCCCCCGGCGCGGCGGCCGGCGCGGGCCGTACCTGTGAGGACGCCGACGCGGATCTGGTGGTCGTGGTTGGTGAGGATGATGCCCTCGGTCGCCATGTTCGCGGCAGCTCCGCACTGCCGGGGGGAGCGGCGCGCGCGCAGAGGGGGCGGGGCCGGGGCGGGGCCAGGGGCGGGGCCAGCGCGTACAACGGCGCGGGCGAGGGGAGCGCGAGATCCGCGCGCGGCGCAGGCAGCACCAATCCAGTGCCGAGAGCGCGGTCCCGCAGAGCAGCAGTGCGGGAACGCGGGGCTGGCAATTGCATTCCTCGGAGAGCAGCAGGGATGGCCATCGCCCCCGCTTTTGGATAGCGTGAAATCGTGGAATCAGTTAGGCCGGGAAACACCTCTGAGGTCATCGAGGTCAACCTACGACCGAAGACCACTCTATCAACTACACCATGGCACTGAGTGCCACATCCAGGCATTTCTTCAACACCTCCAGGGGTGGTGACTCCACCACCTCCCTGGGCAGCCCTTTTTGTGAAGAAGTTCCTCCTGATGTCCCATCTAAACCTCCCCTGATGCAGCCTGAAGCCATTTCTTCTTGTTCTGCTGCTTGTTACCTGGGAGAAGAGACCACCCTCCACCTGGCCACAGCCTCCTTTCAGGGAGTTGTAGAGAGTGAGAAGGTCTCCCAAGAGCCTTCTTTTCTCGGGGTGAGAAATACAGAGATACGAAGTTTTCCCGCCAACTTTTGAGTCCCCTTGGGCTCAGCAAGGTGTTTTTGAAACCTCTCAGGCCTCTTCCCTTCCCTCACCTTTGAGACCTTCCCCTCTCCTCTGACACTGAAGCTAAAGCAACAGTTGTTTAGGTAAAGCAACTTATTGTCATAGCAAGTATCTTTTTTCGTCTTACTGTATGACAGTGGAAACTCTCAAGAAGCAAATATTTAAACTCATTTTGGATGTGTAGGCAAATGTCTTGCATATTTAACAGCAACATCATCAACTGCAAATGACAACCCACTGTCAAAATTCAAGCCCTTTTACTTCAGCAGCTATATATATTTTTGGATATTCCAGCTGAGTTTTCAATGCTACCTTGCTAATAGCAGACTCCATGTTAGTCTCCTTTTGACTGCGTACTAGCAAGCAATTATTGAAAGAATTTGTGATTTGCGTAGGCATAAATGAACCACTTCAGGAGTTTTCTCTAGCATATAGATGGACAACTACCACAAAGGAAAAACAGAGGGCTGAAGAAATATCCTGTGTCTCAGGGAAAGTCGCACTAGTAGCACTTTGATGGGGTGGTGCACCAGCACACGATATCAGTATTTCTATATTGGCACAGCAGCTACAGTGTGTGCAGCCATAGAGACTGCGAATTCAGGCTCCAGGGATCTCTGGTTATGCAATGGTATAATACAACATATGTGGGTGGGTGTAAGCCTGAACCCAAAACAGCATGGCTACTGAAGATATACTGCATCGCTGGTGCTCGTACTGCTGTTTCCTCACGGGTTCAGTCACTATGTGTTGAATATTCTGCCTTAGACAAGGCAAAAAGATTTCTTTTTTTTTTTTTTTTTTTTTGCAAACGTATCTGAAATTACCTAAATTACAAGCAAATAGCTTGACATTTTGTAGCTTCCTGCAGAGGATTCTCACACCCTACACTAAAAACAGTATTGTTTATTCAGAACATCTCACAGTCTCCCCATGTTGATTTGTTGCTCTTGTGGATGGTAAGAAGGAGGGGCAGAATTCACATTTCACTGACAACATTAGGTTTATTACTTTATGGCTTATAAATGCCTACTAGTGGGATTTGTATGAGATTTTTTTGATAGAAATGTAGTTGATGATTGTATTAATGTAACAAAATAGGTTTACAAATTTTTTGAAGACTGAATAAAGAAGAAACTGGAATTGATAATGGGGGTTTGTTACTGTGATGTGAAAAGATTGTTAATGTAATGGATCCATAATAGCTCAAGAGAATGGGATGATGTCCTGCAGTCAGGTTTGTGACCGAGTAAGGAAACAAGTGTGTGTGATGCAGATGTTTGCATCTGTTACTGGAGGGAGACATTCTAGGAAATATGCTGGCAATCCACACCAGAGATCCTGTTTACTATCCAAAGAAAAACAAGTTTTCATCATCAAAGTAAATATACAGCTGATAGTCACATTTTGTCCTGGTCACGTCAGTGTTAAAGTATAACTCAACTTAGAAACATTTCAGCAATCTTTTAACTTTATTTTGCCTACCAGCTGTTAATTATCAATACCTCTCCATTAACTTCACCACCACCCTTTCATTAAGCTGGCTCTACTAGACATGTTTATTCCATGTAGTCTTAGTTTACTGGCCAACATAGAGGGCTTTCTTATTTTATGAGCACTACAGAATGACATATTTGAATTACTCATTTTGCCGTAACAGTTTTGGTGTACAGGAAACACTTCATTAGTTACCTGTAAAAATCTTAATTAAAAAAAAATATAGACTTCTGTATGATTACAAGAAGATACCAGTTTGTTCTCTTAATTAGAGTGTGGGCAAGGATGATTTAAAAACTCTTTGGCAGTTCATATTTAGAATAGATGTTCAATATAATTTCCAATATAATTTGTTGTCACATAGGTTTGATTTTTTTTTTCCCAGTGGCTCCTTAAATGTAATTCATTAACTCTCTTCTTTTTTATTTTCAACGGGTTGGCTATCTGGATCAGCAGTGGAACATGGTTCTTCAGCTGTGTGCAATTGGTACAGATGTAGTCTACTGAAGTCATGAAGTAGCTGGCTTAATGAATCATTAATCAAATTCAAACCATTTTATTTCTGTGCCATTTTATTTCTGCTGCAAATCTAAGTAAGATCAAGAGACTAGCTAGCTCAGTGGTTAAGTAATAGGAAACGGAGCATTAGGAAACCCCCAGCTTATTCATGTAAGTCTATAAAGGATCAGAAAACTCAAAGTTTTGAGACATTAAAATACAAACGTTTTTCCAATGCAGCCATTTTTTTAAAGTTGTCTACTATAGGTTAATAGCTTCTGATACATTTAAATAGTCCATATTGCTCTATAAATTTTGAAAAAAAATAGTATAAACATTTTATGTGTAGTCACTGATATAGCACAATATTCATCACTCTGTAAGAAGGTACAAGAGGTGATTTCTCCAAACAGTCCCTTCCCTTGATAAAGTTTATAGTAAAACCATATCTTCTCATTATTTCATGAGCACAAAGTAGGTCTACCCAACTTGTCTTTTCTTTATCTGAGATTTCAGATGGTGCTGTTTTGCTTCTCAGTTGAATAAATGTTTCTGTTTCCATGAGTATTTGGAAAAGAATGTTCTGTGGATCTGTGTCCGGGGCACATCAGACCAGTGTGGTTTTTAGCATTGTGCAAACATACAAATTGCTGTCCAGACTTTCCCTGACAGAATTCAAGAAGTGCCAGGCAGGGAGGTTCCAAATTGAAGTACACCCTCAGCTTGGTAACAAGAGCTGGAATCCATCACTAAGGAGCAGTGGAGATCCTGTGAAAAGGATTATCTTTCAATTCACCATCATTACTATTTTGTCCATCATTCATTGAGCTGGTCCTACAACAAGTCTTCTTTCTCGGTCTCACCTTAAAGAAGATACACCAGATATTTTGCTGTAGTTATTATAATCTGTTCTAGGCTTTTCTTGAAGAACAGTACTCTAAAAAAGGGTTTCCTTTCTTTCAGAATAATTTGGAAATGGGGCCAGCCAAAGGCAATCTTGATGCTCGCAGGTGCCAGTTCTTCTTCTGGGTACAACCCGTCTGAGATCAGAACCAAGGTCTTTGAGATAGGTTTGGAATATGTGTGACATCTGACTACAAATGCAGTGCTGTTGATTCACTACTAGTATGGGTGCCTGACAAAAATAAATGAATCTTAGCGTGACTCCACATGAGTGGTGTTGACACATTCAATTGTCTGTGCTTCGTTTGCTGCAAAACAGTAGCTATTTTAGAAAAGCAGTTGATGAGTTTAGCATACACAAAGAGTAGACAGATTTAAAAGACATCTTACTGGAACATTCTATTTTTGAGATTTCACTTTGACAAAACTGCCTCATTAAGGACTTGTATATGAAAAGCAGGAAAATGCTTTTGTATCTCATGTAAACTAAATTCAGAATTCTGATGAGCTGAATCAGTTCTTTCCATACATTATTTTCCTTTATCTGTATTTCCCCTTGTTTCCTTTTAAGAGATGATATAAAACTTTAAGGAAGCTTTATCTTGTTTAATAAGGAAGACAACTCCAAACTGTATGAAATAAGGCAGAAAGAGAAAAGAGAAGATAAGTATTTTGAACCCAAATTAAATTATAATATTTTGGAATGAACTAGCCACAAATGGTCATCACGTACTGTGGCCAAAAGTGAAAAAATGTCAGCTTGCTTCTGCAGGAAAGCATGCCATGTTGTTTGCTTTGACTTACTAGAAGCATTAAAACTACTAAAATAGATGCACTGAGGAAGAGAAGGATAACTATATGGTGAAGGGCAGCTGCAGCCTCCTGCCAGCTGGACTGAAGGCAAATTTGCCAACATTCATTGTCCAATATTGTGTTTCTGGTCTGAACTATGTGACAGTGAGTTTCAAAGCGTTTGTCCACCTTCAGACATATGTAACTATATCAACAAATAAAATTCAGGCAAAAAGCAAGTAGCCGTGGCTTCTCCAATGTTGTCAACCCTGACTTAGGACATTAATGTCATATTTATGGTATGGAGTGGTTGGCTTGTAGTAAAATTGCATACAATGGGAAGCAAGAGACTCCTTGTACCCACAACTCCTTTTGTTCCTGGATAAATAAGTCTTGGAAAAGACATCCATTGTTCATGTGTATACACATGATCTGTGTTTCAAGCTCATGTACATTATGTTCACTGGGTCACTCTGCTCCTTTGTGGGTTTGTTTTCTAGAAGAGTTCTTGGCCCAGCTGTGGCTCAGGCCTTTACCATCTTTGGAGCCTGTACCAAACTACTGTTGGTTTGGTTAAGGGGTTGACTACATCCAAAACCAGTTTTTTTGTTGTAATTCATAGACTATATCTATAAAACTAGTTGTGTGCACTATCTTTAATGCCTAGTCAATGATGGTGTGAGAAGATTTGTTGCCT